CTTGCTTAACTGATTTGCAGAGTTCCTGCGTTACACACCATTACACACGAATGCATTACACAGCTGCACCTGTAACATATTTAGGTACAATGTGGCTGCAAGCAGCTCTGACCCATAATGAACTGTGGCAACACGCCCAGGTCTCCTCCACGGGCAGTTCGGGCCAGGTCCGAGTCCAGCCCATCATGGGAGTTCATCTGCGTTTGCCTTGCTCCTGAGTGGCAGTAAAGGGTCCTTCTGGAGTCCTGTTTCTCTGCTTGGGTGAAGGACAGTGGAGCTGCATGACAGATGCTCACAGCTTGGCCATTCGCTAGTCATAAAGTTATCTTCCTGAGCATGAGGCGGGGGGTCCTACTGGACCTCTCCATCCCTAGAGCAGTGTGATTAGTGCTGGCCAAGAGGAGACTGTGGACACCTAACTACAGTATCCAGCCGGGAGCGGGATGTTGGCTCCCTCTTGCCACAACCCCTCGATATGGCCAAACTGATGCTCTCGGGAGCTTGTTTGTTTTTCCAAAGCTGAGCTTGAGCAGAGCTCATCAGCTGTGCTGACTGTGGCTCAGGCACCAGAGCCAGGGAGCAGCTGTCCCGAGAGGGCAGGAGTGTGACCCTGGCAGTGAGGGGGTGGTCACTCTGGGATGCAGTGGGGACCCAGTTCCTAAGACATCTCGGTTACTCTGGTGTTGTGACACACACCAAGGCCGTGGTGAGGAACTGGAATCGCTGGAGCCTGTATGAGCTTTCCTGCTACTCGAATTTTACAGATAGAAACGACTTCCCCTGGCTGGCATCTTGAATAAAGATGTTTCTCTCTCTGAAATTCAACTCTGAGCCAGCACTCAGAAGGCTCAGGCAGGAGACCAGCCTGGGCTACAAAGTCAGCTCAAGGCCAGACTGAACTGCACAGCAAGACCTTGCCTCAAAAAGACAAAAAAAAAAAAAAAAAAAAAAAAAAGGAAAGAAAAAGAGAGAGAGAGAGTAATAGAGAGCAAGAGAGAGAAAGAAGGAAGCAAGGAAAGAAGGAGAGAAGGGAGAAAGGACTTCAACTCTGGAAGATTTAGGGACAAACAGACCATTCTTGGCCTTCTCCAAGAACTGGGTCTGCAGTCTCAGCTACCTCATTTGCCATGAGGGTCTCTTTTCTGGCAGCTGGGGAAAGTCCATGGCAAGACATGGGCTCCACATAATGTGCTCCCCCCAGAGTAGCCCTTGGGGCTCAGAGCAAGGTTATTTCTCTCACCACTCTGTCTTTACACCTCTGCCTGTTGTTCTTGTCTCTGATCCTCAAGATCTCAGACAGTGACTGTGGAGACACAGCCGCCTCCATCCTGGACCCGCAGGCTTCTCACTGGCTCCTTCCAGTGTCTGTCTGAAGAAGTGATTGGTGCCTACAGCCTACCAATCAACTGCCTATCATCAGGAACCATCCAAGATGCTTTATTTCTCCACTTTTCAAGCTGTTTGTAAAGTGTCTGTGTACAGATACATACCTGTAACCATGGCACGTGTGCAATACATCTTACTGAAAGCCATGGGATAGAATGCAGTTGCAGTCTACCACCAAACAGCATGTAAAATCACATTGTGACTGCATGCCCTGTTCATCACACCTGGTGTTCTCCAGGAACAAGAATCCAAGTGAGCTATTACAAATCGTGCTGCTATAAACATGGGAGCACATATATCACTGAGCATGACCTTTTCTATTTTTGTGGGAAAATACTCAGGAGATGGAGAGCTGAACTGAATGGATATTCCAATCCTATTTTTTGAGGAATCTCCACACTTATTTCCACAGCGGCTGCACCACTCTGCACTCCCACCAACAGTGAAGGGCTCCTTTTTCCCCACAGCCTCGGCAACATTTGTTATCCATTGATTTCTTGATGGCAGACATTCTTTCCAGGGTGAGATGAAATCTCAATGTTTTTTAACCTGCATCTCTTGAATGACCAGTAACGGTGGACATTTCTTCATGTATTTATTGCCATTTGTATATCTTCATCTAAGAACTGTGTGTTCCTCACAGATGCCAATATTTGGAGAGGGTCTTTGAATTTGGGGCATTAATGTGTAACTTGAACAACAACTTCTAAGGTAACAATATGTAGTTTATCAACTAATGATTTCTGTTTTTTTTAATTCTTTATTATTTCTACCCTTTTTTCTGTTTTGCTTTTTTTCTCTTAAAAAAAAAATCACTGCTGAAAATAAGAATCCAAGTGAGAAAAGTAAAACGTGACAGACAACACCTTCTTCCTCCCGCCCTCCAAATTCCTAACAATATTTGCTCCTCATCTTTGCTGTCTTGAAGCCACTCAAAAGCGCACACCCAGCCTGGTGTGTGGGTTTGGCTGCTTGCTCTGCTCCCCACCCAAATCAGATCCCCCTGGTGAGATGCGTCTGAGGCCGGGACCCACAGCCAGGAGCGTGGAAACGCCGAGGTGACACCGTGCTCCTCGGTCACACTGTAGTTTAAATATCACTGGTCATAAAAACACATGAGAGCCCCTCCATCACGGATCTGTGGGTGAGCCGGTGCCCGTGGTACTCTCCAGCCACTCCTCCACCCCCGGGTTGGATCTTTAGTTCTTTACTCCTGGTTGCTGCCTGCCACAGTGTCAGCAGTCAGTTAAATGCCCACTGACGTGGCAGAGGGGGTGGGCAGCGGGTCTGTTCTTGGAAGACACACTGATGCTAAAGCGAGGCTCAGAGGGCGGCAGCTGCAGGAAGGATCCCTGGGCCCGCGCTGCGAGGAAGTACCGAGTCCTCCACCTGGCGGGCCTGGCCTGGGTGTGCAGGGGCTGCTGCGGGCAGCGCCTGCCCTAGGACAGCTGTGAAGGCAGCGGTGCCCTCCCGCCTGTGTACAGATGCGCCCAAGGGAGACTGGCAGGGACTGACGAGAAACACGACACGGGACTGGGAAGAGCTGGAGGCCTGTTCTTCTCCTCAGCCTCCAAGACGAGGGGCCCAGGTTCAAAGGGAGCGGGCGCAGGGACTGCAGCGCACACGCCGTGTCTGTTATCGCCTTCACTGGATCAGATTCCTGCAGAGGAGCTAACAACTGAGCAGAAGGCGACTGAGCTGTACAGGCGCAGTGGGGAACAGGAAGTGCTCTGTGCCCTTTGACCCCGGAAGCGGAAACAGAAGTGTCGGGCCGGGTGACTGAGGCTGTGCATGCGTGAGGCACAGCCACCGGCCTCAGAATCCAGGACCTCGCCAGCCACAGATCTAAGCTGCTCAAAACAGCCAAATCCGACTGAACACACAGAGACTTCTCTTGTAAACATCTCTAAACTCTGCCACGGAACGAGGATTTATAGGCATTTAGAGTTTGTGAGGTATGAGACGTCATCAGTAACCCTGTACGCGCAGGAGGGTGTGTGGGGTGACAAGCTGGTACTGTACCCTTTTGTGTGAGAGACCTGAGAATCCTCGGGTTTGGTAAACTGGGGGGGGGGGTGCTGAAACCAAGTCTTAACAGATAAGGGGTGACCACAGCATTTCCAATGGGTGCCACAGACCCCAACGCCAAAGCAGCCCCATCCCTCTGTCTGTAAGGTGCTTTATTCTGGTGGGCTGGGCAGGGCACAGAAAGGTCAGCTCTCTGTCTTGGCAGCATCAGAGGAGATTTCAGTCCCTAGAATTACAGAGCTTCACATGCACGCTGACCCAGAGCCGCCATTAAACCAAAGAGACTTTAAATTCATTTCACAGAACACAGGGAGTATCCAGTGCTGGGAGTGGGTAAATGTTACTGCTTCTGTGAGCCGGGGGCATAATTTCCCTAATGGATGTGCGACATTATTTCCCATCTGGCAAATGACAGTGACCTGCTTGAATCACAATACAGTGCACCGACACATCAGGCCAGGTTAGGATATGTCTGTACTTCTGTTCTCTTAGAAATCTCTGAAAGCAAACAGCAGAAACACTCTGTCACCTCTTTAAATTGTACAAAGCCATAGTGGAGCCAATAGACCTCAAGAATTTCAGTGTCAAACAGAAGTTTTTTTGAAATGCAAGAGTTGAATGTTTTTCACTCATACACAAAAAATCTAAACATGAGGCTTCATTCTATTGCCAAACTCATTTCTGACTTTCTTTTTCCCCTTGTCTCTTTGAGATAGGTTTTACTACACCATGTACCTACACCTGAGATCCCGTGACTTGGCACTGTGTCCCAAGAAAGCACTTAGTGGGGTGCAGTCACCCAAGTTCTGATGGAGGGGGGCTGCACACCCAGGCAGCTTTTTGGTTCACTGGCTGATGATATTTGAAAAGTAAGAAAACCTGTTACTACACAGCTTCAGATTCCTCAGCTGGCCCTTACAGTGTCTGTAGGGCCTGGAGAAAGACCAGGTGCAGGGTGGACATTCTTGTGCTATGAAATGTCCTAATTCTTCCAGAAAGTGAGGGCTGACATTTGCTAAAACACCACAGATGGTGCTGGCAGTGTTGAGAAAGGCACTCGGACCAACAAAAACCCACAAGGACCTGGCCAGCACCAGCACCAACACCTCAGCAGCACCATCTTCCCAGCCACCCACATCTACAGGTTTGTGTCTGTGCCCAGAGCTTCCTTGACTGGGTCCACAGGGCCCTTAACCCCTGTCCCCATGCAAAGTCCCTGCCCATAAACAGATGCACAACTGAGCCACCAGCAAGGAAAGATCAAAAGGGCGATGGAGGCCAAAGACTGCCATGTGGTCAGCGCATTTGAGCTGCATTTCAAGAGGGAGCCCAGAGACACTGACAGGAACGTGGGTCCACATTCAGGAGACACCTGGCCCCCTGAGGAGCCAATTGGCAGCTGTCAACATGAAACGTTTGCAACTCTGGGAACCGGTTTCTTTTGGTACACATTTATTGCTGCATCAAAGGTGCTAAAATCTTTGGCTGAAAAGGAAAAAAAATATATACATACATATATGTATACAAACCAATCACACTGATTTTGAAACTAAGCTAGAAATATGTGGATAAATAATGAAACCAACTGGAGGATATTTAAATGTTTATTTTCATGTTAAAAATGATGATTACCCTGTGGTTAGAATATACGTTTATACTGGAAAATGAAGTCACTTTATTTCTGAAAGATTTCCAGGGGGAATGAAAAGAAAAATCCAAAAGTAGTGAAGAGTAAGATCAAAGTGTTCTGGAAAATTCCACCAACAATCCCAACAGGAGCCATGGACCTTCCAGGATAGAATTCCCAGTTTCAGGATGCCAGGTTTCAATGTTTTTCCTGCCATCAGTTTAGATATTTTTTGAGCCGGTTGTCTATACATTTAAAAGCTACAGTTTTGCATGCTTTTATGTTAAAGGGTATGTATTCCAACACAACTCTCAGAGCTTCAGTAGACTCCTATATTACATACAAAAATAGCTGCTATCCATATTTCAGCGTTAACTTTCCCATCACCCACTCTGTCCATTTACAAAATAGGTGATCAGAATTACATTACACATGTACCATGTTTGTTTATTGGAGGAAAGGGTACTGAGTTTATAGAACATCTGTGGTGTCATTTACAGAGAAGAGGACAGAGACTTGAGACCACTTTTCAGGGGATCAGAGCAGAATCCCCCATGGTGCCCGTGACACGTACATTTCAGATGAAGCTACCGTCTGTGATCCTTGCCACCGACTGTAAGTAGTTCTTCAGTGAGCAACACAATGTTTACTGTGTTTTTAACACTCCAACATCGGAGAGACCCCTTTCCTAGCAAAAGGAAATAAGACCATTGACCAAATGTACAAAGATGGGCTTTCCTAAAACGTAAAATTAACGAGGTCCCAATGACTCTACAGATAATGGTCATGGACAAAAATCAACCCGTGTGTTCATTCTCTTCACGTTTACAAACAGAAATTCCCTGCTCGGACATCAAGGATTATTGGCATCTGCGACTTTATCACCCTGGCCACTGTGCAACGGAAGCACTTAGGAAGCTGACCTCTCTTTGTCGGGACATACAGAGTATTCCGCATTGTGATAGTTGCTGATCTTGCAAAGAAAACTATTGTCTTTTTCTCATGCTCTCAGACACTACACCCCTTCTGTTGAAACTCGAGTTGTGGAGTGCAGTGGCTGTTCCTGGATCTCTGGGGACTGTGACCGCACACCTCCAACTGCTCCAGGTCTCACCATCAGGATTTTGTACCTTGACCTTGCTCCGTGTGACCACAGTGTTCCCCGGCTGGCGCCCTCCTTGGATAGGCTTCCTTTTTCCTTCCTCTATGCGTGCTGTTCTTGTGGGAAAGGAAGGGACTCAGCCCCTGTTTGGTTCCAGTTATTTACCGAGACCCATAATCTGGAAACCTCCACCACAAAAACCTAGAGAATTCAGACCAACTGCACACCCTATGGGAAGTGGGGCTTCTAGGCTTAGTGTCTCATATTCTTCTATTTTAGTTTAGATATCTTTGAGTATAGTAATTAATACTTGGAACTGACTAGCTAGAAAACAAGGTGATACAAGCCCAAGCCATGGTTTATGATCTCAGGCAATACTTACAGGACAAAATGCCTCTGTGAAACTGTCTTACCCTGGCTGAATAACATCCATGCCAAACTGAGGACAAGAGTGGCCACGCGGGATTCCCATCAATATCTCCGACTCCTCAGGACTCCTATGTACACACGTGTGTGAGCATCTGTGTACATGTGAATTTGCATGATGAGAGCCTCCCTCCCAATCTTCCATTTGACTTTTCTTTTGAACTCACTCTGTTCTAACACAAACAGAGGCTGATATGAGGGCCCCTTCAGGACCCTGGCCAGCTCCAGGAGGACCCCCCCCCCCACCTTTTGCTCCCTGACTCTACCCCCATCAGACACTACCCCTCATGGGAAATGCTCCAATGTACCTATTCCTTAACGTTACCCCACATCGAGACAGCCATTTCCTTCTAAACTACACCGCCTATGTCCCACAGTCTCCCGGGCCCGTGGGATGCAGCCAGGTGTGATTGTGAGAGCCCCTTCAGGTGAGGCACCTCACTTTGGGGAATGAGCCCCTGCCACGAACTCCTTAATGCTGAAGGCCTAAGGGGAGACCACATGAAAATGCCCCATAAGAGGAGCTGGACTCTTGGGTCAAGTCGTGCCTGAGCTTTTCTTGAGCCAGTATTGGGGTCACCTCCCCTGCAATCTCTTTGAAAGCTGCTTGCTAACTGGGGACTCTTCCTAAGGGGTGCCAGACGTCTGTTTGCAAACTCCTGGGCCACACTGCCTGGATACACTGGCTCCACTCTTCAGTCAAACTAAAGTTGTCAGAACCCCACCAGCTTTGGCCACACTTTAAGCACTTACAGAACCCACAGAACACCAGCCTCCTCCAGAGCTCAAGCCAAGGTCCCCTGCAGCCCAGCCCTGTCTGCAAACACACTGCATGCAAGATACATGATGGACTTTCTGTCTGCCACATCATAGCTCAAAGAGCTTGACTGTCATGTTCCCACCCATGGGAATCTAAAGAGAACAACTGAACCAGACCAGCTGTCTTCTGAAAAGCTTGGCCACCCACTTTTTGGCGCCAGGAAATGATGCAGGTGACCTGAATGTCCTTTTCACTTTAGACCTTTAGAATTCCACTTTCACACATGCAAAAGGCTCGGTTGACTCCTGCTGGGGCGAGCCAGTTTGCCTTCCCACCCAGCCATCTCAGCAAATAAAAACTCACATTTTGCTTGTTTGAAAATCTTGCTCTGCCTGAGGCCATGCACAATGTTTTTCAATATAGTTTTTATTTTAAGATTATGCAGGAATTTTTTATTCTCTGCCCACCTTGACTTTGTCACAGCTGTAATTTGCTCATAAGGGCAGCTTCTTAGGCTGTGAGCAGTCACTTATTTTCATGAATTTGGGGGGAAACTACTGTTCGCCTCCACCAAAGCACACCTTCAAAAGTTTTAATGCTATCAGGGTCACGATTGGGACTTGTTTTTCATGGTCATCATACAGATGGATTTCTACACATTGCTAACTTTAAACACCATGAAAACATTGTTTGTTGTTATTGTTCTGGTAAAATGGGAAGTTCAGCCTGAAGCTATTTCCCAGGCATTTTTCCTCCTATGTAGGATCAATCTCACTTTTAGATGCCAGCCTGGATAATACATTGTGTCAGCCACCAAGAATACAGCTGTACATACAACTATGGTGGGGTCTCTCCATCCTCAGAAACACACCCCAGGAGCTCCCCAGAATTCTCAACAGGCAGATGACAAGGACAAATGTCTATGACTCACAACTTTTCTCTGAATATTTTAAGCTTTGTGTATAAAACTGTAAAGAAATGGCCCTCCTTGGCTGGACAGTAACATTTTGAGCAAAACTCATCACAGTCTTATTCAGGAAAGCTGAACATCAGAAAGGAGAAAAGAAAAAGAAAAACCCAGAATGAGAGTAAACTACTCAGATGCTACTGTTTCACAGTATGGAAAGCTGGACAAACCTGATGTCCACCAGGAAGTGACAGGGCAGAGAGCCCCAGGGGTAAAACACGAACGTAAACCAGACAGACGGCACAGGAGAGATGGAAGGGTCTCTCGGACATTTCACAAAAAGTTCCAGAAGACAAGGGATGTGTGCGGGTGCAGATGTGTATAAAAATGACGAGCAGCGCTCCTGACAGACAAGGACACTACATTCATCATCTCTCGCCTATGACTAACTCAGGCCGAGGCTTCTGAGTGTCCACTGTGCTTTAAAAGGTCTAAGTATAGGAAAGTCACCCCCGAACCCTTCCTCACTACCCCCCGCTCGGCTGTGGACCATGAAACAAATACCATGGAGTCGAGTTTGTCAGACTCGCACCGAGGCGGACCAGGCAGGAGACAGACCCTGGTCCTGGAATCTTCCAGGCCGAGGTGCAGCTGTTGGAGTAGATTTCCCAGGTAGAACCCAGCGGCCGCCGCTCTCTGGCTCTGAGGCCCGCCCAGGTGGACAGACCCCAGCAGACATTTGCTGAGCAAGCTTGGTTAAGTCTCTCTATTGCTGATGGGAGTCACTGCTCCACCATCCCGGAAACAGAAGGCATAAAGGTGAATACAAACGTAAAAAAGGAGCTCACATCCGGTCCTGCAGCCTCTCCATGTAGTCCCTGAGGTCCTGCGTGTCCCCCAGCCCCATGTCTGGGCAGACCCACTTGATGCTGTCATCACTGTCGAACAGCACGGAGTTGGTGTAGGGGCCACCGTCCTCGGGCAGGATGGTGGTGTAGGAGGTGAACTTGACCCGCTTCCGCTTCGGGCCTACAGAACCCATGGGCTCGCTTTTCATCTCCTTCTCATAGCCATAGTCCGCAGGCCTGAGCAGCTGGCTGTGGAAGGCCTTCTGGGAACCACCATTCAACAGGAAGTTCCTCTCTTCAAACTGCAGCCCCCTGTCCATCACGGTGGTGCACTCTTCGGAGGGCAGTGTCACATCCACTGGGTTCTCCAGGAGCTCCACCTCATTCCCCAGCCAGACCCAGTCATGCGAGTGGGGGATGTTGCCTTGCTCGCTCACCGCAAACCTTTTGTGTCTGTATTTCCATGCGAACGCCACACAGTTGATGAGGAAGACCAGGATGGCCAGGCAGAAGACACAGAGTAGGGCATACATGCCGATCTCCAGGTCCGTGAGGCCCCTGGCGCTCACTGCGAGGTCGCCAGGGTTACTGGCTTCCGGCGACCTCCCTTGAGTGGGGAAGCTCGTGAAGGCATCGGCACCGGCACTTTTGAGCACCCTCTCGTCCTTTCCTCCCACAGGTGCCTGCGGGGTTGGACTTCTGTTTGTCCTTTCCTCCTGGCCAATGGAGGCACCGTGCTGGAACCACTCCTGCACAGCCCGCTCCTGGTTGCCTTCCCGCTCTATGGAGTTGCTGAGGTGGTCTCTGTACTCCCGGTTCATGCCTACAATGTCGTTGCTGCCTCCTTGGTGCCCATCGATGCTCGGTTCAAACTTGACCCGGACGCTTCCTTTTCCTACAGCGAGCACGCTTTTCCTCTTGGTCTTCTGACAAGGTTCGCTGATCATCATTTCCAACTTAATCAGGGGCCCTTGTCCTTCCCCCTCTGCAGCCACAATGGGCCACCGGGACTGAAGGTTTGGCTGGACGGACACCACCATTTCATCCAACGATGACACGGTGACAGAGAAATCCTTGGGGTCATAAATGTCTAACGGCGTCACCGCACCATCACTGAACAAAAGCCAAGAACTGACTATAGCTTCCTAAAGAAAATGAAACCAAAGGACACTGTTAAATTCTGGTTCCTTCGAATTTACAGAGATATGATTTCCTACATCAATTATTTAACACACAGAGAAACTTTCTAACCTTCAGTGTCCCTGTTATTCCCTGAGCCGGAACCAACAAAGTGCTGTAGCTCAGCTGACATGAGGAACAAACACCACACTTTAATGCACGCACTGAAGTGTACGCTTGTTTATTGCAAACCATACTGTAGAGTTTGACTTTGATATTCCTAAAAACATTTAGACAGATCAGGAAGTCCATCGGAATGGACTTGAGGTGCAGCTGACCAGGCTCCTGCTCAGGACCACATCACTCTGCACCTTCTTCACCAGGAAGCCAAACACTGCCACATTGGAAGTTCTCAGCCAGGATGGACTCAAGCCAGCCAGCCTCAATCACCTGGGGCCCCTGTGTCTTTGTAAATGATTTGAAAACTTTTCAATGTGGAGGAGAGTTTTTAAAAGGCCATAATAACTTCAATAAGCTACAGCAATGCGGAGCCTATTAGCCATGCCTGTTCAAGAAACTGAAATGGAATTTCTGAACACCAGAAATCACCTGTTTCCTTGGCACAGGTGAACACATGGTCTTTGGTTCACAGTCTGGGGCAGACTGTGCCTAGCATGTAGTGTGCACTTGGAAACAAATGGCAAGGAGACCCAGGCTCTGAGTGTTTCTCTCAGATCCAGGGAGGCCAGGCAGGGGGAAGGCCTTGGAGAGTCAACAGCTCCCATGAGAGCTTTCCCAGCATGCTCTGCTGCATGCCATCACCAAGAGAGGCAGTGACTTCACGGACCGGGGCCTGGGACTCTGGGGGTCTCACCTGCTGTGGGGCTTGGAGGACATCCTGGGCAGCCACTGTGGAGACGATGGCCCTCTTGTCTGCTCTGTGAGGCTGCAGGGAAAGAGACAAGCCAGCCACCAGCTGCACGCCCAACTCAGCAATGGTGACCCGGTCATCCAGGACGATCACTGTCTTCTCAGCCAGGATGGAGTCTGAGAGCGGCGAGAGGACCTGAGAAGTCAAAGCAGATCCTCAGTCTCAGCCGCAAGCCAAGCACCTGTGCTGCTGGGCCTCTGAACAACACTCGTGCTGCCATGCTGTTTCTAGAATGGTCACCAGAAAAGATGCCCTGCTGTCATCCCTGTACCTGCAACACGAGAAGAAAGCACTCTCCCACGTGCTATGTTCTGTGGCACAGCCGGCCTGAAGGAAAAGGTGACCGCTTTGACCTGCACAGCTGTGCTGGAAACAATGGGAAACGCCCTTAAAAGTAGAGTGCTATGCCCTGGCTGAGGGCAGCAGGGGGAGCCGGAGAGCCTAGAGTGTCAGAGGGACCGGGTCTAAATCCTGCGGATGCTGCCAATGCTGCCATGGAGTCTTCAAGCAGAGTGGCCCCAGAGGACAGCAAGAACAGGGACCTCAGTGCTACCAGTATGGAGAGCAAAGTTCTCTGCAACAGCTTGAAAGCCGGTCGTCCCTCCTAACTCCCGGGTGAGGGCCCTGTCTGGGCGACTTCCTGGACTCAGCCTGGGGCCCCTGGAGTAAAAGACCCTTCTGTGCCCCGGGCCTCCTGGCTTACAGACAGTGGCTTCATAAGTCAGTGCTGCTGTAAGATGCTAACTGTGGTAACCTGTTACCCAGAAAGAGGACACACACACAGGGCACAGCAGCATGCTGGCCCAACTTTGCCAGAACTTAAATATGAATACAGAAGCAGCAGCATTATCAGCCTGCAGACAGAAAACCTACTGCGCCATGTTCCTGCCTCAAGCCAGCCAGAGACTGCTTTACTGAGACAGAGAGCTTGTAACTATGGATTCTGTATTAGAGTGATCACATGCTTTTAAAAACCTCTGTCTACTGCTGGAAACACAGCTAACATGTGAACTTCAAGTGCAAACTACAGAGTGTAGCCACCCGAGTGTAGCCACGTGGCTGTGCTTCAAGGCTCCAGCTTTCGGAGCTCTGGCTGCCTTCTGCTGGCAACCCACTGTACCAAGGTAAAGCAGCAGGGGCCAGGCCAAGAGGCTGGCAAGGTCCAGGCTGCCCTGGGCAACTTAGCGAGACCCTGTCTCTAAAGAAAGTTTCAGAAAGGCCTAGGATGTTCCTCGGGCGTAGAGCATCAGCCTGGCATGAATTCAATCCCCAGCACGCCAAAGAGAGCACGTTTGGAGAAGTACAGTGTAATAGTAAGGAAAACATCGTGCACTATGCGTCTTCTTTAGCTTTCTGTGGTAAAAGATAATCAGTAGTCCTGTCAACTGTTTGCCCTGGCCAGAAATGCCAGATATAAACTTTGCACTTAAAACTCTCCTGCTTCTAATGATTCTCTAATGCACACAGGCCCTCAACCCAGGCACACTGACACACATTCATACGGGTGTGCATGCACACTGTCATCCACAGGCACGTCCCGGGTGACCACAGTCGGAGGTAACCATACCTGCACGGTGGTGATTCCCGGCTCCCGTCCGGCCAGTGTCCTTCCATCCTGCAGCTCCGCGATCTTCGGCTCCTCCACCTTCATGAACTCAGTGACCAGGTCGGTGATGTCGAACTGCCAGTCGGGGCCCAGCATGAAGGTGAGCTGGCCCACGTCGGGTGCCTCCGCCACAAACTGGGTGAGGACACGCACCAGGGCATGCTGGTACTGCAGGGAGCAGCCCCGGCCCTTCCTCTCCTCGTCGTCCTCGTCCTCGCTCTCCCGGGTCGGCCTGGAGCACAGAGACCAAAGTGGGGTGAGCTCCCTGAGGCCAAGGGCAGCCCAGGCCCTGCGTGTACAGATTCCATGTGCGGAAACACAGGGAGACAGGCTGAGCCAGAGGGCTGCTGGGGGCCTCCAGCGCCCTCCTGCCTGCTGGCTGGGGCCTCCTCTGAGCCCGCACCCCAAAAAGCACCACAGCGCCCACTCCCACCACAGGTCTGGCCCAACCAAACCCACATGCTGGCAGTGAGGCGCCACTATTCCTGCTGAAACATCTCAAACGTTTCTCCCTTCCAGCAGGCCTGGCTTTTCCTCCCTCCCTCAGGGCCCCACTACGTCCTGTTTTCCAGCACGAGTCCTCTGATCCCCCCTTGCCCACCCCCACCTGACCCCGAGAAATCCTCTCTGGCACTATAATTTAGAACATTCTGGACTAGCACGGGATGAAGGAACAAGGACTTCTGGGTACTGAGGAAGACCTACCATGAGCCAGGACTCTGTAACCATGACAACCAAGTCACCATTGCCATAGGCACTTAAAAACACTACGGATCCTGATCTTACCGATGATGAAAGAGATAAGACAGAAGACAGACTGTGACAGACAGAGGCAGTGTTACAGTTTATGTCTAAAGTGTCCTTCACACACTCATAGACAGGGCTTCAGGCAGATGAGAGCTGTGTGGGTGTGTGACACTTATCGGCAGATGAGGCCACTAATGAGTTTACAGCTGGTTGCAGTGTTCAGAGGTGGAGCCTGGTGGGAGGAGATGGATCATCCTGGGTGTGGCCCGGAAGGGTCCATCTCCCTCCTCCTTCCTTGATGCCCCATGGCTCCTGCCTGCCCTGCTGTGTGCTGTTTCTCCTCTGCTGTGTCGTCTGCCACGCAGCTCTGCGTTGGCAAGAGCTGACTATGGACAGAAACCTCTACTAACTGTGAGCCAAAATAACTCACCCTTTAACTTGTGGATGTCAGATATTTTGTCCCAGCAATAAGAAAGTAATTAAGACATACAGGATGGACCCATGCCAAGCAGATTGCCCACTGTGTGTGTGCCCACTAAGACCAAGCTCCACAGTGGCCATGTGGCCCCAACAGCTGCTACTATGGACATATATCTGGCTCCATGCACTTTCTGAAGCCCACCTTTCTTCTCGTGTTCTATTCTATCTCCCTTTTGGAGCAGAAAACCACCCAGAAACTTCTCACCAGCACTGTAACAAAACGATCTGTTTCCAAGAAGCAAACGCCATTGAGTAAGACAGATAACTAGGTAGCAAAGGAGATAGTATTAAAAAATACTGCATGACATACTGGGAAGCCATTCCCTTTTTATTTCTTATAGGCTTCCAGCATATATCACAGCAGCCATCTCTGTCAGATATCAGAGTGCCCCATCTCCAATAGCTAATGAAGAAGAACACACAGACAGACAACAGTGTCACTCAGAATCTAATAACACAGTCTTCTTGTCTTTACATTAAGTTCAGACTGAGTTTATCCTATAATAAATGCTACTGCATCTGCATTTGTAGTACTGTGAGTTCCCTTTAATTAAATAGGTAAAATTGAAAGATATTATAAAGTATATTTAGTGCTTTCATTTAAAATTTCCACTTCATAAAGGTTGTCTGTGAGTCTGGGAAACTTGGTACTCTACTATCATAACAAAGCAATTCTGTTCACTTAAGGCAGACTCTGTCCAGTACATTTTTAAACTTTTAATTTTGAAATAATTGCATTGCAAGACACATAACCATACTACTAATTGTTAGGTTATCAAAAAGAATAGTTTGCACTGTCATTGTTTGATTATCTATTCATTGTTTATGCTTAGACTCTGTAACTTGAACTACTTCTAAGATAACAATATATATCAACTAGTGTTGATTTCTTACTGTTATTTTTTTTGAAATTCTATATTATTTCTACTCTTCTTGTTTTGCTTTTTAAAAATTAAAAACCATAGGAAGAAAATGTTAAAAATTTTTTAAAAATTAAAAAAAAATAATTGCAAATTCATTGAAAGTTAAAAGAAGAAAAAGCACACAGAGAACCCTATACTCCATGTCAGCATCTCTGTGACTCCCGGACTGTATCAGCACAGTGCTAAATCAATACTGGTGTACAGAGCTTTCAGATTTCACCATTTTACAAGGAACTGTGTGTGCAAGCGTCTCGTGATTTTACACCCATACACGCACAGCTCACGGTGGCCCAGGATGGCAAGGTTTCACCACCTCACATGCAGACACATTAGCTCCACTAAGGCTCCTGTATACCCCTCCTCACTTTAACAAATGTAATTAAGGATTTCCTCTGTCTACTGTAATGTCATAGTGTCAGGTGTAATGTCAGGTGATGTTACATTTCTGCTTCAGCATCCAAACATGATTTAAGAAATTCATTGGGACGTAATGCATCATGAATGCAGGCAGTGATTCTCCCCTTTCACACTATTGTTATCCATTCTACACGTGTCTTCCTTTCTGAAGTTCCCAGGTCTCTTTCCATCACCACTTTGTAAGGAGAAACTCCATTAACCACTTATTTTCTTTAAAGAAAATAAAACAAAAAAGGGTAGAAATAATACATAATTTCAAAAAAAGAAAGAAATCACTAGTTAATAAATTACATATTGCCCCCTTACAAACAGTTTTTCAAGTTAGAAAAGTAGAGCATACAAAGTGGACATTTAAACAGCGAGACTGCAAGCAGTTCTGTTCAACTATCCAACAAAAAATTAGTAATATGGTTATCAATCCTACACACATAAACATACCTGAAGTTATATCCTTTAGAGCACTTTCTTTTCCTCTCTTTTTCACAATAGCAATTACACATTTTGGGTTTTATAACTTCTACAGTTCTTATTACTTTTTACACTAGAGACACAATGTGGTATTTATAAATATGATTCTTATTTATTTCACTAATGAGGATAGCCTCAACTTGTCTCCATTTGCCTATGAAGACCTCAAGATCATCCTTTTCTATAGCTGATAATATTCCATTGTATAAAAATACCACATCCTTTTCATCCACTCTGCAGATGATGGGCGTCTTGGTTGTTTCCAAGATTTGGCTATTGCAAATTGTGATGCTATGAACATGGGTGCACATATATCACTGTGATATGACCTTTTCAGTTTTACTGGGAAAATACCCAGGAGGGGACTAGCTGGATTGATTGGAATGTGCAAACCTAGTCTTCTGAGAATTCTCCATACTGACTGCCATAGTAGCTGCACCAGTCTACATTCCCACCAACGTGTGGAGCAGTGCTCTTTTTTCCCAGCAGCCTCGCCAACATTTGTTATTAGTTGATTTCATGACGGCAGCTATGCTTTCTGGAGTGAGATGAAATTGCAATGCAAATGCAATTGAATTTGCATTTCTTGAATGACCAGTGATGGTCATTTCTTCATGTATTTATTTTCCATTTGTACATCTTCATCTGTATTTGTATATCTTCATTTCAGTTGCCCATTTTTTGAGAGGGTCATTGAATTTGGGATCCTTGATGTTTTTCAATTCTTTATATGTTCTGGATATAAGTCCTTTGTCTGAGGGGATATAGGTTAAAATTCTTACCTATTCTGTGGGTTTTCTTTTCATTTTGTTGGTGATTTCTTTTGAAGTGCAGAAACTTTGCAATAATATGAGATTCCAGTTGTTGATTCTTTCAAGTGTTTACCCTTCATGTTTGTTCATGAATTCTCTGCCTACCCCTATGTCTCTAAGACTTCTACCTACCTTGTCTTCCAGTAGATTTAGTGTTTATGTTTTAATATTTAGGTCTTTGATCAATTTAGACTTTAGTTTGCATGGTGATAGGCATGGATCTAGTTTCAGTCTCGGCATGTGGAAAGCTAATTTTTCCAGCACCATTTATTAAAGAGGCTATTCTTTTCAAGTGAACATGTTTAGGCCCTTTGTCAAATATCAGGGGGGTGAGTGTCTGTCATTCTGCTTGTATCTTCTAATCTGATCCATTGATCCTCAGGTCTATTTCTTTGCCAGTACCATGCTGATTTTATCACCATGGCTTTGTAGTATAGTTTCAAGTCAGGAATTGAGATGCCTCTTGCCTTGCCTTTGTTGCCCAGAATTGCCTTTGATATTCTAGGTTTCTTCTGTTTCCAAATGAATTTTAGAGGTGCTTTCCCTAGATCTGTGACATATGTTAATGGTATTTTGATTGGGATTGCATTAAATCTGTATAACAGTTTTGGGAGTATGGCCATTTTCACAATGTTGGTTCTTAGCTAAGAGCAAGAAATATCCTTCCATTTTCTAATATCCTCTTTAATCACCTTTTTTAACATAGCACAATTTTCATCATATAGGTCTTTTTCTTTCTTAGGTTGATTCCTAAGTATTTCATTTTTTAGATGCTATTGTGAAGGATGGTATTTCCATATTTTCTCTCTTAAGTGAGTTTTTTGTGTACAGGAATGCTATTGATTTTTGAGCATTGACTTTGTATCCAGATACACTGCTGATTTTGTTTATTACTTCTAGTAGTCTTTTAATGGAGTTTTGGGGGTCTTCTATGTAGAGTATCATGTCATCTGCAAACAGTGATAATTTAATTTCTTCCTTTCCTATCTTTATTCCTTTTATTTCTCTCTCTTGTCTGATTGCCCTGGCTAGTGTTTCCAGAACTATATTGAATAGGAGTGGTGATAGTGAACATCCTTGTCTTGTTTCTGATTTTAAAGCAAAAGCTTTTCAGTTTTTGTCCATTTAGTATAATGTTGGCTATTGGTTTGTCATAGATGGCCTTTATGGGGATGAGGTAGACACCATGTATTCCAAGTTTCTGAAGGATTTTTATCATGAACATGTGTTGGACTTTATCAAAACCTTTTTCTGTATCATATTGAGATGACCATGTGGTTTTTGTTTTTGGCTCTCTTGATGTGGTATATTACATTTATTGATTTGTGTATGTTAAACCATCCTTGCATTCCTGGAATGAATCCCACTTGGTCATGATGTATATA